CTTACAGTGGAGAAGACAATTTAGGCATAGTAAAAATATTCCGTCAGCTATAGAAAACTTATATATTCTTCAGCAGAAAATTGATATCGAAGTTCAAAAAGGGCGTGCGGCTGGCCCGTTCACAATTAATAACTTACCTTTTAGTAACCTTCAAATTTCTCCACTTGGTGCCTAAACAGAAACAAGGTGAATTCAGAGTCATACATCATTTATCATACCCAGAAAGTCATCAATTAATAACGGGATTTCAAAAGAATATTCTGCGGTGACATATCAAACTGTAGATGATGCTGTAAAGCTGATTAAGAGGTTTGGCAGAGACGCTTTGCTTGCAAAGACTGACATTGAACATGGGTATAAGAATATTCCAATCCACTCACTTGACCATGAGTTATTGGGGTTTGCAGTAGGGAGTAATATTTATTATGATAAGACATTGCCCATTGGGTTTAAGTTCTGCATGTAGTCTTTTTGAAAAATTCTCAACTTCATGCATTGGGTTGTCAATAATAAGCTAGGTATTGAAGGTTGTTAGATGATTTTTTACTAGTTGCCCCCCCATGCTTTTCTGTGTACAGGTCAGTTAGAGCTATTTTTTGAAGTTCATGAAACAGATAGGGGTGCCCTTAAAGCAAGAAAAGACTGTGCCTCCTACGACTGTTTTAACATTTCTTGGACTGGAATTTGATACCAACATGATGGAGATCCGACTACCCATTGATAAGTTGCAAAAATTGCGGGCACAGATTTCACTATACAAACAAAGAAAAAAGATAACTCTCTATGAGCTTCAATCCTTAGTTGGACTCCTTAATTTTGCTTGTGCGGTAGTACAGCCAAGATGCACTTTTCTTCGCCGATTAATTGACCTAACTAAAGGATTACGTAAACCACGCCAAAGATGTCGACTAAACAAGGAAGCTAAAGCTGATTTAGAGGCGTGGTCACTTTTCCTTCAGAACTTCAATGGAAAATCCTCGTTTTTAGAGGATGCATGGCAAACTTCTGTTACGTTACAACTGTACACAGATGCCAGTGGCTTAGGGTTCGGTGGTGTATTTGGAAACAGATGGTTTTAAGGGGAATGGACTTCAGAGTTGCATAACTATCACATAACTATTAAAGAACTCTTCCGCACTGTGGTAGCGGTTCAGTTATGGGGACGAGATATGTCAAATAAAAGAGTGTGCTTTTTCTCAGATAACATGACAGTCGTACACACGATTAATAAACAAACAGCTAAAGAAACAACCATTATGAAATTTCTGCGAAAACTCATTGTCTAATGTTTAATATATTATTTGTTGGTAAACATGTTCCAGGAGTAAGTAATGTGCTCAGTGACAAATTATCTCGTTTACAGATATCAGAGTTCCACAGACTAGCACCAGTCGACACCTGTTCCAGAGGAGATGTTCAAGCTCTGCAAGTCCCTCTCAGTGTACCTGGCAGAAAATGCTTTGACAGTTTCAACGCGGAATTCTTATAACAGAGCCAAGCTTACTTGCAACGAATTCTGATTCAAGTACTTTCCAGGAAATCCAACGTTTCCAATGACGAGTGAACAGTTGGTTTTATTTACTTCTTATTGCTATCAGAAAGAACTTTCACCTCAAACAGTTATCACATACATGTCAGCTTTGGCACATTTCCACAAAATGGAGGGTTTTCCTGATCCAACTCAAAATTTCATTGTGAAACGAACAATCCAAGGATTTTCAAAACTAATGGCGAAGCCGCCTTCCCATTACACCTGTCATACTGCAGAAACTAATAAATTCATTGCCTCAGTATACCCAGTCATTTTATCAGAGAACTCATTTTAAGGCAATGTTTTTATTAGCATTCCATGCTCCCCTTCGCACCCCCTACTAATGTTATTGTGATTTAAATTCAAGACACGTGGTTTAGGTTTACCTATTCAGAGGATATAGGGTAGAACCGGTTTCATATATAAAATTTGCAGTAAACAGGAAATTGCTATAGTCTGTTTCTCCTGAAAACGTGTCCTGTGAAAAATGTGTTTCCAGACCTTTCTGAGAGACTTTTATGATTTTCAACAAAAATGGGTGGCTAAGGGGGGGGATAACAATTAATACATCTTATCATAGTTTACTGTAAAAAAAATACAGCTCATACGCTGGTAAAAAAAATATGTACAATGTAATATCACCTACACTAACAAACCTTTGTTTGCCTTATATGGCTATTGCTATTACAGCGCACAGAGGATCTTACCAAGAGCAACTGACCAATTGCAATTGTTGATTGAATACGTTTACGCCAAGTACATGTTTACATTTCACTTCGAACACGTGGTTCAGGTCAATCTATGAGCATGTCAGTGGAATGCAAAATAAAAATGTTCTTATGAACAAAATGCAAACATTAGAAACTATGAAAGATATCACGAGGCTCACGGGCGTTTTTAATTTGTTGTTAACAAGAGAAAAGTATGTTTTATAAAATGTATACGTAGTTAGTGTCAAGTTCAGAACACCAGCACTTCAAGGGTAAGGAAAACAAGCAGCTTTTCGTATGCATTTAAATGGACAAAACATTTTTTACATAACTATACTCGTGATCACGTGTGTTGGCCAGGAAATCTACCTGACAAATGTATTCACCGATAGTACAATACAGGAATTTATCAAGCGTAAATTTCCTGTAGTACTCGTAGTAACCCATAATGCAATTCTCATTCAGATGATTTGTCAGTTGAAGTCACATTGGTGCCTCATTTGCTAATCTGACGCCAAAAATATTGTCCCAGTTACAATGCAAGAATATTTGTCCTAAAAGAAATTTTAACTCATCGCTGCAGAAATTGTATCATAGAGAATACTTATTGAAGTTTGAATGAATTCAAGAGAGATCAATCGAAGTACATTTCTAGAGATATTATAGGGTGGTGAAAACTGAAACTCAACATAACTTTTCTGTTTACCATGTCTCCACGTGCTAGTCACTTCCTAGCCTCATTTCCGTGCATAATTTACCCTATCTCCTGAAGTCTCGCTAACTCCCGCCTGAGCCATTGTCAGAGCTACTCTGAACTCATCGGGTTTTATAATTTACAGAACACCGAAAAAGAAAAGGTTCCAAACACATTAGTAGGGGTGTTCCGAGTGGGAGAAATTACTTCGACGACAAATAACACTTTAAATTTATCAGCAGTGCCATTTGAGAAACAACAGAATGGTGTACCACAATGCATGACTTTGACTATGGTTGATTTTAAACATCATAGAGGAAAACCACCTGTGACATTTCATTTAAATGCTAACAAAGACAATAGTCAATCATGCGCAGTTTTGGCAATGTGCGAATACATAGAATTACGAGGAGGTAGTGATGGACCACTTTTCATGTTTCAGGACAAATCACCAGTTTCAAGACATTACTTTAATCAGCAATTAAAGATATAACTTAATTTTTAGCTCTACTGGTCAGAGACCAGAAGAGCTTATGCGATAGTAATGCGTCCGGCGTCCGTCCGTCCGTCTGTCTGTCTGTAAACAATTTTTCAAAATGCTACTCCTCCTACAGTTTTGGTCTGATTTCAATATAACTTGGCACACAAGTAGACTACACTTAGATACATAATTGTGTGTATCGATTTTTGATTTTGATGAACGGTGTTGCCGTGGTTACTAAAAATAGAAATTTCTGTGAAATACTTTCAAAATGCTACTCCTCCTACAGTTTTGGTCTGATTTCAATATAACTTGGCACACAAGTAGACTACACTAAGATACATAATTCTGTATATCAATTTTAGATTTCGATGAATGGTGTTGCTGTTGTTACTAAAAATAAAAATTTCTGTGAAATACTTTCAAAATGCTATTCCTCCTACAGTTTTGGTCTGATTTCAATATAACTTGGCACACAAGTAGACTACACTAAGATACATAATTCTGTGTATCGATTTTTGATTTCGGTGAACTGTGTTGCCATGGTTACTAAAATTAGAAATTTCTGTGAAATACTTTCAAAATGCTACTCCTCCTACAGTTTTGGTCTGATTTCAATATAATTTTTTGGCACACAAGTAGACTACACTTACATACATAATTGTGTGTATCTATTTTTGATTTTGATGAACGGTGTTGCCGTGGTTACTAAAAATAGAAACTTCTGTGAAATACTTTCAAAATGCTACTCCTCCTACAGTTTTGGTCTGATTTCAATATAACTTGGCACACAAGTAGACTACACTAAGCTTCATAATACTATGTATCAATTTTTTTCTTTCAATGAACAGTGTTGCCTTTGTTTCTTGAAATAGAAATTTCTCTGAATTACTTTCAAAATGCTACACCTCCTGCAGTTTTGGTCTGATTTCAATATAACTTGGCACACGAGTAGACTACACCAAGGTACACAATTCTATTTATCGATATTTGATTTATTTGATTTTTGAGTTTAGTCATTTTTTTAATCAATTTTCACTAGTGTGATTTTATTATTGTTATTGTAGTATGTTTGATAAGTTGAGCATGTTCATGTTTTATTTTATACTTTGAGTAGTCTAGTCAATTTTATTATTATTTTTTTTTTTAAATCAGTCTTAACTAATGTGATTTTATTATTCATAGTGTAGTATTTTTTGATAGATTGAGCATTTCTTCATAACATTTTCGTAAGTGTAGTGTTTGATGTTATGATGCTTTTGAAGTTGATCCCTCACCTTTGATTTTCAGGGACACGATTTTAACTATAAGTAATTAGCATAAGTTTTGTATTAATTTTTCATATTGTACATATGTTGTGTATATGAAAAAGTTGATCGTCATTTTGCTAATAAATGACCAATTTCGATTCAAATATGTGTTCGAGTTTAATTGATTGAAAATCAAACGGAGCAGAATCATTCTGAGGAAAACGGTTGACAAAAATACAGGATTTTTGCAAATGCGATATGCCTGACGTCACAATAGCCGTCTCATCCCTGCAGAGCTGAATCAGATATGGTTTTGAGGGGCTGATACGGATCAATATGGTCTGTCCCCATCTCGCCTTAACTGTAAAATTTAGCATTCCCATTTCACCTTAGTAAGCTCTGAGGTGAATTAAGATGATGAAGATTTAATATATTTAGCATAAAGTATTTTTTGTTTGGAAATACTTGGTATTACATGTATTTTTTTATTCACAGTATGCGTTAACTGGTAAATTCAATCTAATTTTTTTATCATTTCAATTTATATATCAAACGAGTGATAATATTTACAAATACTAAAATTTCCATCTTGCCTTAATACTTTTTAACTTTTTCTTACCTGAATTTCACAGTAAGGCGAAATGGGAACACACCATCAATATCACACCACGATAAAATTAAACCTCAAAAATAGTACTTGATCATACACATATTTTGGGGGTTACAAATTCTCTTAATTTTAACTTTTTGAATGCAAGGATAATCTAACTGACATATAATAGATTATGTTACGGATCGGGCACAACTGAAATAGTACATGTAGAAAACAAACAACTGTATGAGACAATAGACCATGTACATTGTACATGTAAGAAGTCCGTGCATGATTATTTACTTATTTTCTTCTCAACTTATTTTCTACTGTATTTTATTACTAAGTATGTAATAAACATGATAAAACATACCCTTTTCCACATCACATCCTGTATCAGCCCTTGACCAATATCAGCCCTCGGGCCTTCGGGCCCTCTGGCTGATATTGCTGTCTCGAGCTGATACAGGATGTGATATGGAAAAGGGTATGTATTAATCTCTAAGTATCTACTTACATGTACTTTATTTGAAGCTACCGCACGGCAGTATATTCTGTTTAGCCGAAAAATGCAATATTCCGGTAATGGGAGTTTCTGTAAATATTTTTAACAAGTAACATTTCATTATGCAACTATAAAATGAATGTAAATAAATTATGCCAAATTTTATACAAATGGATCTGTTCAAATTACTCTGAAATGAAGCAGACAGACAGCATGTGCATGTTCATGAAATAGACTCCTGGAATAAAACAGATTCTATGGAGGTGACGCAGATGTTTTCATTCTCTACACCAAAATAACAGCCGACCTTGGTCTT